GGGACAGGTTAGTTTGGAGCACTTTTTCTTTAGGGAGGCTGCTCTGAGTGGTGGGCAGTAAGGGCAGCCCCCTGGGCCGGTATGAATGAGGGGGGGTGCGTATTAGGGCCCCGCTGAGGACAAAGACTTAGGGCGTGTGGTTGGTCATCCCCCGCGTGGTGCATCTAGGGAGTCTTCTTGGAAGAGGCACACAAGACTTTAGGAACCAGAGGTGGTGGTTTTGCACAGGCCAGTGTGAGGGAGTGGGAGGGGTGGCAAGGTTGGCCCAGAGGATGAGACCCAGGACGGCCCCGGGCTGGGAGCGTGCTGGCAGGGGAGGGGCTGGCACCGGATGGAGGGGGTAGGAGGAGTGAAAGAACTCAGTTTGCCAGCCCTGCTGCCAGTCCCCCAGAAGCCTGGGGACTTCACCGAGGAATTAGGGAGCGTTTAACATCTCTGGCTAATTAGCTGCCGCCTGCTACCGAGGAAGGAGGAGAGGGGAGTTGGAGCCAGGCAGCTTTGAAAGGCAATGCTGCTCCTTGACAAAGCCGGCCTGGGGAGGTTTCAAAGACAACTTCTGAGCAGCCTGCACGTTTCATGTTCATTAGATCCTCGCTTCCCAGGCTCCAAAGACAAACAGTGGGATTTAAGGGTTTTCTTCCCTTTTTGGAGACATTTCATTCTGAGCTGTGAGCTTTCAGCTGGGGAGGAGGCCGAGCCGGCTGAGCTCCTGCTCCTCCAAATCCACAGCCTAAGCAGAGCCCGGCTTCACCTACTCTGCACACTAGAAGCTTCCCAGGGGCCCCCCAAAGCTCGACACCAACCCCCCTACCGAGGCTAGTTGAGCAGGTGCCGTGGGCACTGAGGGGTACTGCTGGACTTTATGCTCAGTGAGGACAGGACCCAGAATTTTTGTTTGTCTTTATCTCCCCAGCACTTGGGTGCTCAGTCAATGTTGGCCGAAGGAGTGAGTGAGTGAATGAATGAATGAGTGTGCTGGTCCTTTGTTGCTCCCAGGTCCATTTCCTGCCTTGCTCGGTCTTGTTTGGTGGCACAGGGAACTACATTTCCCAGGCTCCCTTACCTATGGGCAGGTCCAGACAATCAGAGGCAGTGGAAGAAGGTGGAGGGTGGGAGGAGGGGAAAGGCCAGGGTATTTCTTGCCTCGCTCAGTTTCCAGCCAGGTCTCTGCAGAGTCTGTGTCTGCTTTTTGGCTCCTGCTGAGCAGCCGGCACGGCCCAGCTCCCTCTGGCAGGCCTGCAGTGGTTCCCACTTCTGTCTGGTGGCCTGAGCTCCCGGGACCCTAGAACACAGCCTTCCCCTTGCAGCCCCAAGGAGGTGGTGGCTAATCTCTGGGTTGTCCCGCCTCTTCCATTACCTTACAACCAAATCCCTGATGTAAATCCCTCCAGTTGAAAGGCCTAGAGTGGTTTGTGTTTTCTCCGTGGGCTTCATGAAATGAATGACTAAATTGCTGCTTATTCAGTTCAGAAAGAAGGCTCTGTGAGACCAGCCAGGTTTGATGTGCCTGGGACCTGTTGGCCTACAGAGCTGGCAGCCTTTCTCCACTGCCAGGGCACATGTCTTGAGGACACAGGTGCAGCTCTAAGCCCAGGAGACGCCTCCCTCCTGTCCCCCCCATTGTTCTTTCCCTCTGAACTTGGCTCTGCTGCGTGATGCCCTAGTGGAAACCTATGGCATAAAAGGACAGTAAGGTGCAGAGGAAAAAGCTGCCTACTGCCAGTGGGACCCTGTGCAGCCCTTTATAGTCTCTGACTCCTTGGAGGCTCACAGTGACGCTGCTGGGTAGACCATCTTGTCCCCATCTTAGGTGGGCAGAGCTCGAGACTCTTAAGAGCTTATGTGGCATCGCTCCTCTTTCACAACCGCACGGCCACTTAGTTCTGTGCATTCAGGGTCACTTTTGTCCCTCTTCTCACCCACCTGCCCGTCCTTGCTGTTTCTGCTCCCCTTAAACACTCAGGGTCCGTCGCCAGCCTCCTAGCTGGTCTGCCTGCCCCAAGCTCACCGTCTTCCATGCAACCTCCATAGCCCTGCCAGGGCCATTTTCTACAACACAAAAAATACCCCCTTAAGCACCCCACTGTTTAAACCCTGTTATATAGCTCCTTATTGCTTAAGGAGTAAGGTCCAATCTCCTCAGGTGGTAGCAAGGCCCTCTGAGATGTGGTCCAGCCCTTCTCCAGCTGTGTCTCTGGGGTCACCTAGAGCTTTTCTAATAGAGCTGGTGGTTCACACCAGGGCCACGCTCTCAGCGCCGAGGACCCCCATCTTCCTGGGAAGCTCCTGCTCTTTCTCCAAGATCTGTCTGTGGCATCCCCCTCTCTGGGACACCGTGCCCAGCTCCCCTGCTCCGGGCGGATCCCTTCCCCCGTGACCCGCGTCTTCTTGTTCCTGTTGTGTTCATCACACTGAATTGCAACCATGTATCCATGCCTCAATTCCCCCTCCTAGGCTGCAAGTTCCTGAAGGGTGGGACTATGTTTCATTGACTCACTTATTTAAAAATGCTTACCGAGGGGCGCCTGGGTGTCTCAGTCGGTCGAGCGCCCGACTTCAGCTTAGGTCGTGATCTCACGGTCCGTGAGTTCAAGCCCCGCGACGGGCTCTGTGCTGACAGCTCGGAGCCTGGAGCCCATTTCGGATTCCGTGTCTGCCCCTCCCCTGCTCATGCTCTGTCTCTGTCTCAAAAATAAATTAAAAAAAAAAAAAACATTAAAAAAAAATTTTTTTTTTAACATTTATTTATTTTTGAGACAGAGAGAGACAGAGCATGAACGGGGGAGGGTCAGAGAGAGGGAGACACAGTATCTGAAACAGGCTTCAGGCTCTGAGCTGTCAGCACAGAGCCCGACGCAGGGCTCGAACTCATGGACCGCGAGATCGTGACCTGAGCCGAAGTCGGCCGCTTAACCGACTGAGCCACCCAGGCGCCCCAAAAAATTTTTTTAAAAGCCTACTGAGCATGGACTTTACACCCAGCCCTGTGGCAGATGCTGGGATACTTGGTTTGTATCTTGGAGTATATGGTCTAGCGTGGAGTAATCGCTCACGCCAGGGACACTAGTGATAGAGGGTCACACTAACATGTATGCGATTATAGGTCAGGAAGGAAAAGGAAGGAGTATGACAGCTTTGGTATCTGGTACCGGGAGGTGTTCCCTAAAGGCTACTTTTCTTCCCTGGCCTCAGCCCCAGGCACCAGGATGTGCATTTATGGCTGTATTTATCGTGCTGTTCCCACAGTGGAATGGGTAGTAACCCCTGGTCTGTGAGCTCTCTGTGGGAGGGCTTCGGTCCCTTCAACTCCTCTCTCCAAGGCCTGATGGCATTGTAGTGGCCATATGACGAATGTGAGTTGAGTTAGAAATAGAGTTGCATCCCTGTATATGAGTCAGGATGGAGCCGAGGCCACCGGGCAGTGGGGTCAGCGCTCTGGACGTGATCGCCCTTCCTCTCCCTGAATATGGACCACAGGAAAAGGGGAGTCCTTCCACCTCTGTGACTTCCTAGCTGTGTGACCTCGGACAAGTCACGTAGCTTCTCGGAGCCTCATTTCCTTCACCTGTAAAATGGACGTGATGATAGTACCCGTCATGAGCTCACTATGAGGAAGCTTAAACACACAGAAAGTGTTAAGAGTCAGGCCGGGCACAGAGTAGGTGCTCTGTTAGTCTGCGGCATTATTATCGCGATTATTATTGTTACTACCATTTCTACGGCCGGTTCCCAGTGAATGACCTACTGTCTTCTGCACACGTCTCCCCAGCAATCCCACACCCGGCCCAGCCCCCTCTGGGTCTGGCACGCGACTGGAGTCTCATCTTTCCTCTTGCTAGGAAGCTGTGGGTAACTGGGGCTTAATTAAGCATGCTTGACTGGGGTGCGATTAGCAGCTGCTGTGAGTCAGCAGAGGCCTGGGCTGGGGGGGTGGGGGGAGGACAGAGGAGGGTGCAGAAAGCTTCTGGTGCGTGGGGCTGTGTTTCTAGGCCCAGTCAGCCCACGTTGTTCGACAAGTGAGGGGGACAGGGTGAGCAATCCTTCAGTCTCTTCGATTCCTCTGGTAGCTCTCACCAGCCAGCTGGCCCTCGCTAGAGCTCTGTGGTTGTTATCATTCATTCATTCATTCATTCATGCGTTCATTCAGCACATACTGCTTGCTTCCTATCTGCCAGGCATTGTCGTAGGTGCTGAGTATGACGCAGTGAAGATCATGGGCTTAGGTTATTGCCCCCATGTGACATACAGACAGGAATAGAGATTAAAATATGTTGTGGAAGGGGTGCCCGGATGGCCCAGTCGGTGAAGCGTCGACTTTGGTTCAGGTCATGATCTCGTGGTTCTTGAGTTCAAGCCCCCGCACCGGGCTCTGTGTTCTGAGCACAGAGCCAGCTTTGGATCCTCTGTCCCCCCTCTCTCTCTCTCTGCTCCTCCCCCACTTGTGCTCTCTCTCTCACAAATAAATAAACATTAAAAAAAATAATAAAATAGGATGTGACATCTGCCTCCGTGGGGTGGGGAGGCAGCACACAGGAAACCCAGGAAGAGCTGGGGTCTCCCTGCTCTGGATGCCCTGTCCTGCACAGCCTCCCATCCGGTGGCATTACTTCCTTATCTGACTATCTTGCCCACCTACTGTTGGCAATCTTAAGCCACCGCCTAGGTGACATTCTCGGTCCTTCCAGTTCACAGCACAGTGCTTGGGACATAGCAGGTGCTCAAAGAATTGGCTGGTTTGTTGGCTGAATGAACCCCAGCTTAGGAAGCAACTTAGGTTGTGTGACCCCGTCCCTCCCCAGAACAGGGGTTGGCAAACTGTAGCCTGCGGGCTCTATGCCCCCTGCAGCCAGCCTATTTTGTAGAGCCCTCGAGCTAAGAATGGTGCGCACATTTTCGAAGGGGTGGGTTGTAAAAACACAAAAAAATTATCAAAGGATAATATGTTGCAGAGATGTATGTGGCCACAAGGTGTAAAATATTTACTCTTTGGTGTTTTACAGAAAATGTTTGCTGATCCCTGGTCTAGAAGCCCGGCTCTGCACCTTGCTCTCCTCGTCTGTGTAATGTGGAATCCGAGTTAAGTACCGCGAAAGCTCCTTCCTGGCGTGTGGTGGAGTCATTCTGCATGCCACGGTTCTCGCTCTGCCCTTGAGGGCCCGCGTTGCACACATCTTTGTGTCACTAGCAGCCCCGTGATGCCTGCACCGAGCAGGTGCTCAGGCAGCATCAGCTGACTGGTGTTAATGGTGGCAGGAGAGGGAGCTCAGAGCCCAGCCCTGTTGCCGCACGGCTGTGTGAGCTTAGGCAGCACTTTGAGTCTCTGAGCCTCAGTTTCCTCACTTGAAAAATGGGCATAATGACTTAGCACCGACTTGCTAGGGTTGCGATGAGAATGAAGGAGATAAGTACCTGGGAAGGTGCCTTGGGAAGTCTTCGGTGCTGTCCAAATGCTAGTCACTGCTGTTCCTGGGCATGTCACACGTACTCGGCTTTGTTGCCTAGTTCCATTTGGCGTGCTTTAACTCATAGGATGGTTTCCCTAAGGATGGTTGGGTTCTTGAGGGTCAAGGTGATTCTAAAGCTGCCCATCAGAAAGGTCCCAGGTGAGTGGTCTCAGTGATGCGATGTGTGTGGCCCTGGGGCACCCCCTGCCTGACCACTGCTTGCCCCTTTAGTTGTGAGGGCAGAGAAGGACTGGGAAGGGATAGTTTATTAAGACTTGGGGAGGGTGGACCCCCCGAGTCTTGGTCCCTGACCATTCCCAGGGCGGGGGAGGGAGCCAGACCTGCACAGTGGGCTCAGTCCTGCCCCCACAGCCACCTCTGTTCATTGAGACAGAGGATTGGGCTCTCCCGCCCAGGCTGCCTGCCCCCTGCCCGGCGGATCGTCCTGCCACAGAATCTAGCTTCATCTCTTGATAACCTTGACCGGCCTTTGTTTAGCATTTTCTTTTCAATGAGCTCTCCCACAGACATCATTTTGTCTTCCATAAGGATCCCATGTGGTAGGGATTCTATCTACCCCCCTTAGAAATGAAGATGCTGAGGTGCAGGGAGGTTAAGAGACTTGCCCACAGTGAGTGTCCCAGCTGGGATGGGATCTGCATCCCTTAATGCCAGGGCTCTTTCTATCACACCAAGTTGCCTCTCTTCACCTGCCTCAGTTGTACCAATGAACCTGTCTTCTCCCAGTCCCTCTCCCACTCCTGCATGGCTTTGTCCCCCAGGCCTGGGAGAGTCCCCTTCACCCCCATGCTGGTATGGAGGCTGGCCCTCTCCTGCAATGGAAGCCTAGTGTGACAGCAGGGGTTCTGGAACTCCCCTCGCCTGGTCCTGACCCCTGGGTCTGGCAGGGGGGTAGAGATGGCTAGGGAAGGTGCACACTGGGGGTGCCAGGGAAGACATGTCAGATTCAGTTACCATGACGTGGAATATTTATGCTGCCATGGGGCCCTGGGTGTCATACTGCATTAAGTGGGCACTCAGTGCCCACTCCCTCCAGCCACGAGATCAGCTGCCTGCCCCTCTCTCCCTTCTTCCTGCTGGATGCCATAGTCGGTGGCATTCCTGACCCCTGGGGATACAGTCAGGGCCTCCTGGGTGCCCAGCCTTTGGGAGGCGCCACTTCCTAGGGACTGAGGGTTTGACTGAGGGAAGGAAGCTTTGACCCCTTAACACATCATTCTGGTGTCTCCAGGGGGGCAGGCTCCTATTTCACGGTTTGGTGGGGAGAGTTCAGGCTCCGAGGACCCATCAGACCCTCTCTGTAAGCTCAGCGCAGAGGCGATGCCCAACGAAGCCTGGATACAAGGGGAAGGTGGATACAAGCCGGGATGTCACGGGGAAGAAACTCCGACCTTGCTTCCCGAAAGGAGAAGACCCTGTTAGTTCTGTAGGGACACCCAGCAGGCCCCCGCCATCAATGTGGTTTCCCTTCTGCTTTGCTCAACTTCAGCTTTGTCTCTGCAACTCCCCCCCGCTTTCCTCTGTACAGCCTGAGGTTGAAGGGCAGGGCTGGGCAGCAGAGGGAGAGCAGACAGGGCATGTAACCACACCCCCGAGGAAGAAAGCGGTTCGGGGGGTGGGTACAAGGCTCTGTGGGGTACCCAGAATAAGGAGCGAAGGGGGAAGGGGTAGAGAGCGTGAGCCTGGTGCAAGCTGAGCCCCAGGGTGCAGGGTGCATCCTCCCCTTCCCCCCAGGCCTTCCTAGCTACCCCCTCGGGGTCTGGCCTGAGCTGCCCTCTCCAGGTCCGTTACTCCAGACCTTGTCACTGTTTATCCAGACTCGAGGCCACTCTATAGCCTTAACCGGCCGCCATTGCATCCACCAGGCTAATGCTGACCATTATCGCCTTCCTACCCTCGATCCTGCAGGAACTTCCCATCGCTGACAGCACCACATCTAACTTTTGAGCCTGGCGCCTGTGGTCCATCCATGGTTTAGCCCTGCTTTGCCCTGCAGCCTGCTTCTCCCTACTCCGTACTCCAAGGCTGTCCTCTGGCCCTGGGAACGCGCACAGCCCCAGACACAGCGTGCTCGCTCCCATCTTGAACGCTGGGACGCGCTGACACTCTGCCAGGTTGGACCATGACCCGACTTCATCCTCTAGAGAGATGCTCCCCGCCCTTTGTGTCTCCTCTCAAGAGCCACCTCCACCGTGAGGCTTCCCTTGGCCTCTCCTTCCACGGAAATGCCACCCAGTGAGGCACACATCTCCGTTGTAACAACTATCTGCTTTTACTTTGGTTATTCACGGATGTTTCTCCCTGACTCTTGACAGGGAGTAACTGAGGGTTGAGACAGTGTCTGAATCACCTTGGGGCCCTCGGCAATCGCTCTGCGTTTGACCTACGTTGCCGATGTGTAGTCAACGGAAAACGCACCAAAAAACGTTTGGAAAATGCTTAGATTAGTAAACTGATCCGTGCCACGAGGAGTCCTCCCCGCTCCCTGTTCCTTTAGCAACGTCCCTCACGCCTCCCCGTGGGACAGGGCGAGACGGGGCTCCGAGCCCATCGTGTTCTGTCCACATTTCTGGCATGCAAAGCCGAATCCGGCTTCAGAGCCCAACACGCTAAGCCCATCTGATGAGCTGCATGTATTGTGGCAAATGTCAGCCTCGGCCAGCTCCAAACTAGGTCAGGCCCGGCTGCCAGGCACCAGGAGTCGGCCAGCACTGACTGCCCAGTGGTCTGGCCACGTGGTTGCAGCTTCTGGGTAGAGAGAGCAGGCAGGGATGCTGCTGAAATAGGAGGGTGGTAGCTGGGGGCGCCCTTGACCTGGGGTGGAGGAGAGGATCCGACACTGAGGCCAAGGCAGATTGAAATGTTTCCCTTGCTCCGCATTCATGATTTAATTAGTGAATTCGCCATTCGTTCCTTCACTTATTTACTCAACATACATTTACTGTACCTGCCTGGTGCCAGGTACTGTGCTAGGTGCTGGGGTAGGAGGAAGAGATCTTCGGGCAGAGAAGGGAGGCAGGTGTAACCAACCACAGTAAGTTGAGCTGGAGAGACACCAAGGTTTGTACTGGACACACTGGGCTGCCCAGGGGAGGGTCTGTGGAGATCCAAGAGCCACCATGTCCCGAGGGCCAGCTGCTTGCACGGATGCAGGAGCCGGCCTTGACCTCACACCCGGCCCGTGAGCATGCACTCTCCACCCCCGCCCCCTGCCTGGGTGGCCACTGCCCGGACTTGAGCCCTCTTTTGCCTTTCACCATGAAATAGGATGTCCGCTGCATTATTGTGATTATGCATTTTTGTAGGTTCCCTTCATCGGTTTGAGGAAGTTCCTTCCTTTTCTCTGGTTTGCGGAGAGTTTTTCTCAAGAATGGATGTTGGATTTGTGTCCAATGCCTTTTCTGCGTCTTTTGAGAGGAGCATTATGGCTTTTCTTTTGGAGTCTATTAACACGGTGAGTTACATCAATTGATTTTTGAATCTTAAACCAACTCTGTATTCCTGAGATGCGCTCCCCTTAGTTGTGATGTGTTGTCCTTTTACTATATTGTTGGGATACATTTCTTGAAAGTTGGTTCGGAATTTTTGAATCTATCTGTCAGCATGAAACATATTGGTCTGTAGTTTTCTTAAAAAAAATTTTTTTTTAAATGTTTATTTATTTTGAGAGAGAACCCTATTGGGAGGGAGGGGCAGAGAGAGAGGGAGACACAGAATCGGAAGCAGGTTCCAGGCTCTGAGCCGTCAGCCCAGAGCCCGACGCGGGGCTCGACCTCACGGACCGCGAGATCGTGACCTGAGTTAGAGTCGGACACAATCGACTGAGCCACCCAGGCACCCCCGTAGTTTTCTTAGAGTGTCTTTGTCTGGTTTTGGTATCAGAGTAATGCTGGCCTCATAAGATGAGTTTTGAATGATTCCTCATTGTAATTTTCTGGAAGAATTTATATAGATCTGGTAATATTCGTTTCTCCCATGTTTGGTAGAATTTACCAAGGAAGCCTGCTGGGCCTGGAGTTTTCTTTGTGGGAAGATTTTTAACTGCAACTCCAATTTCTTTCATAAATACAGGCGAATTCAGTTCACTTCGTCTTAAATGAGTTTTGGTAGTTTGCCATTGCTCTATTCTTTGCACAGCCCTTTACATTGAATGATACGTTCTTGTTTATTTCCTTGATTTTTATATGTTGTTTCTGCTTTTCCCCTATAAAACTGAGCTCTGGGAGGATAGAGACTATGATTTTGCTTTTGTACTGGGCAGAGGATAAGCTCAATGAATCCTTGTGGAATGAGTGGAGGTTAATTTTAGCCTAAGAATACTGCAACCTGGGTATTCCCATTCTGTACCTGTGAAAGCTGAGGCTGAAAAGAGGTTAAGTAAATTGTCCTGTAGCCACTGCAGCACCTAGCAAGTGGATCAAACATCTGATCTTGCTTCTAGATGGTTTTCTTTCTGGGTAAGTATTGACTTGGTAGCAAAGCGTGAGAGTAACATCCACAGAGAAACTAGACAGCGGGTCTCAAACTTCCGTGCATGAGAATCACTTGAAGAACGTGCTAACCAGGCAGGGAATCCGTATCCTCACCAGCTTCCCATGTAACTCTGGTGTGCATCACCAAGAGGCCACGCTTTGCGGGGCTCTGGCTCAGCCCGTGCAAATGTGGGGGAAGTGTAAGGTCTGCTCTGCTCAGAGAAGGAGGAGATGCTTGGTGCGGAGCCCTAGAAGCACGGGGGGTGGGGGGGGTGGGGTGGGGGGGGGAGGGTGGGTTGTGAATTCTGAGCGTCTGGGATCCCTGTCTCCGAGGGTGGGGCACTTGTAGCTGCTTACATACAAGCAGCGAAGGTGCTAAGTCAACTTCAGCAAGTCCTTTTGCAGAGCCGGTGGCTTGGGATCCAATTCCTTTCCACTCGTGTGTTTCTCCAGTGCCCAGAGATAGGACCAGTGCTATGTCTCTGCTTTCAATAACAGAATAAACTCTAGGGGTCTTCCAGGCTCTTCTTGGATGAGGTCCCAGAAACCTCACTGCCCATCTAGCCCTTGGGGAAGTGAGGACCAGGATGGGAGGGGAGACAGGGAAACAGAGGAGTCCTGGGCTACTTACTAGGGAGAACTTAAGTGTCAGATGCCTCTCTCAGGGGCTTGGGGACAGCTGTCCTCTTGGCAGATTCAGGGGAGGGGCATGGGATGGATGAAAAGATTCTAGGCCCTAGGAATGTGCCATAGGATTTGCTCATCACTGGAAGGTCTCCTGGCTCACTATTGACCTGTGTGAGTCAGGGAAGGAGTGGGGTACACGTGGGGATGTGAGAGGGTTGGGAGGGGTGCTGAGACAAGGGGGGATGGGGCCTGTCCTCCACGCTCATGCCTTCCTAGGGCCCATTCCAAAACCTCAGCTGAGTTCCCTGTCCCCTTGCCCTCCGATGTCACATTGGATGAGGCTTCTGCTGCAGTAAGGCAGAAGTGGCAGGCAGAGGCACTAGGGGCTGGTGCCCCAGGGGGCAGGCAGAGAGGAGGGCAGGAGGGAGAACACGGAAGGAGGAAGGGCAGAGGGCCGGCGACTGCACTAGGTGCCAAGGTGTTGTGTTATGGGGGGGTGGGAGTGGGCACCCTCCTGGAGGCAATTTATCTAACGCATGGCTTGGCTGTCAATTGGCCTGGAAGCTAATGGAGTCATTTGCATGCCATTACCAGATTGGCTGGGAGAAATAGAAGGGCACTTGTCCCCTGGGGTGGCCTCTGCCATCCCGTGTCGGCGCTGGACTGAACAGATGTCATCGCCTTCACGTGGGAGGAGGCAGCACCTCCCTGGGTAGAGTAGCCCTTTGTCTTTGCGGCCTAGTCTCAGTGACTGGGGTCAGAGGGAGGGCTCTTAGGCAATTCCAAAACAGCCGAGGGGGCAGGCCACTTGTGCTTGGCATTGGAGCGGCATCCAGGCAACACCCTGTTGGGAGATGCTGGTGTGATGTTTTACCATCTGGTTAGATATTTCTGTTCACTTTCTATAGCTCGGTAACAGATGACCGCGAACCTGCCAGCTTAAAACGACCATGCAATTTTATCATCTCGTGGTTTCTGCGAGGCAGGAGTCCAAGCCACCCTAGCTTGGTCCTTTGCTCGGGGTCTTACAGAGCTGAAAGCCAGCCGTGGGCTGGTCTGTGGTCCTTTCTGGAGCGCAGGATCCTCTTCCAAGCTCATATGTTGGAATTCGGTTCCTTGTGGCTGTAAGACTGAAGTCCCATCCAAGGGACTCTCTTGGCCTCCAGAAGCTGCTCACAGTTTTCCTGACCTGTAGCTCTGACACGGGCTCACTCACTTCACAGTGGCTTACTTCCGCGGGGTCTCTCTCTTCCTGGAAAGGGCCCCTCCCTCTATTATGTGCTTTCACCTAATTAAGTCAGGCCCACCCAGGACAATCTTCCTTTTACGTAACTCAAAATCAACTTATTTGAAACCTCAATTATCTCATGATAATCATGATACAGGAGGAGGCAGGAATCTCGGGGCCACCCTAAAATTCTACCCATGACAATATTTAATGGGAGGGGGCGCTGAGAGAGGGAGACAGAGAGGTATTTAGAGGTTTATAGATGAGAGGGAATGATGAATATAGAACACAGGAGTCCTAAAGAGCCCACCTGCAATTCTGTTCTGCTGTGCTCTGCCCTCCCCTTCCTTACTTATAATGAAAACAGTTGATAATTCAGAATTTTAATTATAAACAGTGGCTGTTGCATGGATAGGAACCAAAAAGAGCATTTGCTGTATGTGCTCACTTCTTACAGGGAATTGGTGGGAGCCAGCTCAACCAATGACTATTGCTATTGGCCATCTGCTGGGACGTGTGCATAGCTTATAGAATCTGAGAGTCACAGCCTACTGGAGCCAGAGAGGACTTTGGGGATCTTGTCATCCAACCTAGTCATCGTGCAGATGATGGAACCGAGGCCCAGAGAGGGGATGTGAGTTGCGTGCGGTCACACAGCTAGTTGGTCGCCAGGTTTGCCAGGAACCAGCTGATGCCCATTCGTTCAGCAAGCAGGTCTTGGGGGAGGATCGGAGAAGGCAGATGGGTCCTCGGTCACCTCGTGCACTTTCCACTACGCCAGTTTGCCTCATTACATAGTCCCTGCCCTTCTAATGCACCTGGCTTCATAGAATTCTTAATGTGTAAAATATTCAATAGCGGTTGCCTACCTTGTCCTGGTTGGCCATGGGGAGTAGGCAGAGGGGGCTGCAGCCTGAGCACAGATGGGGTGGCAGCAGGAGGAGGGGGCTCTGCAGGCTGCAGAATGGCAGTGTGTGTGTGTGTGTGTGTGTGTGTGTGTGTGTGTCTCCAACTGAGCTTAAACCCTGAAAGCAGGACTCAACCTTGCCTCTCCCTCCCCCATGCGATCACATCCCGCCTGTGACTTTGTCATCTCCATCCCTCCAGCCTTTATCAGTGTCACAGGTGCTGAGTCACCAGACACAGGTTACCAGGGAAGGTGATTAATGATGGCAGCTGTGGTCCTTCCTACTCTCCCAGCCTCCCTGACCTTGTCCTTCCCCTCTTCTTTCTAGTTTCTCTTACCCCCACCATCCTCTAAGAAAAGAGATACACATTCAGTATCTGAGAGGGGAAGGAAGGGACATTGGACCCTTCTGGAACAGCCACTCTGGGTCAGGCACCGTGCCAGGCTCTTTCATTTGTTCTCACTGCACAGTGTACGTGGAGAGATGCTGCGGGGCGTCCTGGGATGCAGGGGAGGGCTGTGTTCTTCCCACGTCACCAGAGAAGGCAGTGCCAGGCTGATTTCCCGTAGACGCCTTTGCCACCCTTTGGCACATATGTTGCTCATGTGGGCTCTGATGTGCATAGTTGTCAGCTTGCCAGGATCCAGAGGACAAGCCCATGGAACCCCGGAGCCTTCAATGTCAAAGCTGTCAGGGACCTTAGCAATCGCTGACTTTCCTGGAAGGGTGAGACGGAGGCCCAGAGGAGAAATGACTCGCTCAAGGTCAAAGCCGGTCTTTCCCGATTCCCGTTCCAGAGTTTGTTCTTGCATCCAGCTTTCATTTCCCTCCGGAAGCAGGGACATGGTCACTGAGAGGTTCAGAGCTGTAGGGTGAAGGGTGAGGCAGGGTAAAGGTCTCTAGTGAAGGATATTTAAGGCATGAGGATGGCCTCCTCCAACACCCAGCTCTGAGCAGCTTCACGCAGCTCCCTCCTTGAGAGATGGGTCCTGTTGTCACAGTGACTGGACCGGACGGCCTGCCCACTGACAGGGCCTGGGATGTGACGGAGCCTCTTACACTGAGGCCATCTCCATGCAATGTTCTCTGTCCTTAGTCCTTGCCATTGTACCCGTGTATGTAAGTGTGTGTGTGTGGGGTGCCTGGGGGGGGCGTTGCAGGTAGAGGGCTGCAGACTGTATAGGGAGGGCTATAGTACTAATACACATCCAGAACCCCA